GTCCACAATACAAGTTTCGTAGCTAAGCTATTGCCCCAATCAACCTATAGTCCAGTTCCAAAGTGCAAGTCAAAATTTCATGGGACACCTCATCAGTAGTGGACCCGAGGATCATCAGGTGTTTCGGCCATTATCACTAGACACCCTCACCTCAGGAAGGCCCTGCCTAACCCTAACGCAAAGGTTAGGACCCACTGTTAAACTCAAAGATAACTATTGAGTTCAGGACCCTATGCGCCCATACACCGAATGGTTTTTCCCCCAATCCGGTTGCGGGAGCCCGCTATCCTATTCCCTCACCTGCCTCCCAATCCCCTGGAGAAAGGACCTCAAAAACCCCCTCTGACACAATGCCTTAAAAAGAGTCCTGGTCCCCCCGACCCTGTCCTTCTCCCTTGTGCAAATCCTCTTAAACCGTAGCAGTTGCGACTTAATGATCCCCTTAAGTGTGCCGCGGGTGAAAACTGTCCCTATGAAGTACATCCGTAGGTTTGAAGAAAAACCCGTAAATCTAATTGCCCTGTTTCCATAAACCTGGGCCCCTTAAACGTAGTAGTGTTGAGGAAATCCACCTCCGTGCTATGGATTACCAGCTTAACCTTAATCGATGCATGGTGGCTATTAAGCGTGGCTACAAACTCCCCAAACTCATCCCTCCCATGCGTCCACACCCCCCAGATGTTGTCCAAGAAACGCCAGTACACTTCCGGCTTCCTCAAGCATTTCGCCAACACTGTCTCCTCCCATGCTGGCATGCATATATGTGTGTGTGTGTGTGTGTGTGTGTGTGTGTGTGTTTCGGGGTAGCACCAAGCCCCTCACTATACTGATAAAGTCATTAGTGTCCCTGATGTAGCTTGGATGCTTGGTCAAGAGTGGATTCAAGAAGTGGTCAATCAGTTCCGCTGTGCCGTATGACTCGCTGCCACAATCCAAAACGATCGGTCGCCCAGGTGGTATTCTACCCGGCACTGTCCAGTCCTCCGGCGATTTGTGAATATTCGGCAAGAGGTAAAACCGTCTTGCTCGGGGGGGGGGTTGTTTGCCTTTGTTCTCATGGACCCCAATTCCTCTAAGGCCTCCTCCTCCTCCCTACTTAAATTCCTAGTCCCCGGCCGCTCCCTTTTTAACCCCAACAGATCCCGCTTGTCCTTGTCGATTAGATCCAATAAGGCCGTCGGTAAAAATCCCTCCTCAGGTTCCCAATCAGATGCCCAATCCCCGGCTGTCCATAGTATGCTGCCAGCTTCTGCTCTCGGTGATACTGCTGTACGTAGCCCGCTAAGGACTGACGGACCTCAGTAAACCTAGTAACCGTCCGTATAAAGGACAGCCCCTTCTCCAATAATTTAAAATGCGCCGGTGACAGAGTGAATGATGTTGACAGATTAATTACCGAATTTGACTGCCCCTGGTGGCGCTAGGGCCTGTCCGGTGCTGCCTAACCTAAAAAAAGCTTCCAATGCTCCCAAATCGCCCTACCCGTTCCCCGGGTCCAGTGAATCCAGTCCTTCCCCGTGAAAAAAGACAGCTCCGGCAGCCTGGGGATGCCTTGCCCTGTTTCCCTGATAATCCGGTTGAGAGCCTCAATGTTCCTTTCGATTACCGGATGGGGACGCCCCCCGTAGTTGATTAAAGGCACGAAGGTCTCTGCAAAAGGAAAGGTCGCTCGGACCGCTCCCAAGAGCCGGCTGACCCTCTTCTCCAACTGATCGACATTCCCTTCATCCCTATCATACAAACCAAACGATAAAATCACCGTCCCCACCTCCAAAGAAGTGGGCGTTTTGTTCCTCAAAATGTGCATCGCATTTGAGATTGTGGCCCCCGGGTAACAATCCATCTGAATTCTGTTGTCCTTGATCAGAGGGATCTTGGTAATGTTTGAATCCCCCATGATCACAATCCGCCTCTGCAGCTCAAACGCCCAATTCATTGTCTTATTTCCCTTATGGTAGGTCCGGTGTATCCTGTAAAATGGCTAGCAGCTCCTCCCTGTATCTATTTGGGTCTGATGGCCCCGGGTCCTCCTGCCGAGCTGTATCCCCTAGCTCCCCTCCAGTCGCTTCGCTTCCATCCACACTATTACTAATCCAGGCACCCAATCCCAAACTCCCCCCCGGGGCTGTCCCCCATTCCCTGCTCCATACTCCAAATGCCACTTGCAACGGTGGATCTAAATCCCTCCCCTCCTTGTTAATAGGAAGCTTGTGCTCTCCCCTCCCCCCTCTCTCTCCCTTTCTCTTTCTACTCCCTCCACCCCCGTGAATGTGCTTCTAGTGACTGTAAAAGCTCCAGCTGTGTTGGGGCCACTTCCATGTTCAAGTGCTGCAAGAAAGCGCAATATTCTGAAAATATTCGTATTCATATTTAGTGGCAATGTTTGAGTGGGTTGCTTTGCTTTCATGATGACTTTGGTTGGATTTTGGGTCATGTGATATATTTAAATGTCCTCCTGCATCCACATTCTTCACATATATTTCATAATCTTCATATATCAGAAATTGCTCCTGGAGAGCGGTCCTTCTTCTGCGGCTCTCCCTCAGGTTTCTTCCATTTTTCCCCTGTTGAAAGAGTTTTTTCGGTTGTTTTTCTAAACCAGAATCGGGGGTCTAGAGGTTGTTGAGTACGATTTTCCCCCCTTTAGGCAATTTCAGATTTGTGATTTTGGGTTATATAAATAAAATTTGACTTTATTCATCCTTTAGTTTAAATGCAACCACACCAGTGTGAATCATTTATGCTTTATTCTTCCTATTCAAAGCTTTGCAGCAACCAGTTGGCTGGTTTGTGATTTATTTATTTAATGTGATTTGTTGCTTTGTCAGTCCACTTTAATGAAACATTGCTGTAAATGAACCAGAGTTATCCAAGAGGCTACAGAATAGAAGATTGAAATTACAAAGTCAAAATATTTGAGAAAAGAAAATATAAATGTTAATAGAAGCATGACTCCTTTAAACGTTAGGTATTATTAAAAGGGGTCATCCCTATCTTCCCCGGGTCCAATACAATTATTGTATTAATGGTTTTTTTTTAATGTTTTTAACTGAATATCGAGAGTTATTTGAATTAATTATTTGATAGATTTTTAATCAGTTTGGTCTGTAAAGTGGCATTACAGGATAAAGTGAAGACACAAAATAACCAAAAAATTAAGATAATAAACAGCAGTCATCATTTTAACAAAGCTGGAACAAATGTTTGGTTGGATGCTTGTTCTCACAGCAAACTTTAAATAAGTGAAGAACCTTTTTCCAGATGTTTTCTGTCTCGTAAACAGGTGAGGTTGTGTCACGCCACCTTTTACAGTGCAGGTTCGGGGATGTGATGCTGCAACTGGCAGCAGCCAGAGGCGACAGTCTCAGAGATGATTAAATAAAGACTGTTTGGTAATTTATTCCAACGTGTTGCGGTGGAACATATGTTGAGAGAAAGCTGCTGTTTCTCCTGAGGAGGCATTTTGTTACCGACTCGTTAATGTTCTTTAAAAATAACAAGTGAGGACGAGATCGCTCCCATTCAGCCTCCTGCTGTTGAACCGTTGTTTGGAGTAAAAAAAAAAACAGAAACCAGAGAACTAATCTAACAAGAACTTCAGAGTTTTGAATCATCTGCAAAACAATATTTAAATCTAGTTTGTGTGGATGTATTGCATTGTTAAACAAAACACTTTTTTTCCCTTTCATCTGTAACTTTAAAAGTAAAATTGCACTGTGAAGCAATAAGTTATTTTAACTCTAAACTGTTTACATAGAAAATTTAAAGTAACACAAACTTTTTTTACATTAAAGATTCCGGATTAAATCCTTTTTGTTTTCATGGAACAAATAAAAATTAAAGCTGCAAGCAGCGTTGGGCAGGACCTCGCACTCCACGCAACTCGGGGCGTGCTGCGAGTGCGTCATGTGTCGTCGTATCATGTTCCATTGTAACATGTGCTGTCACTGCGAACTGTGGTAATTCAGCGCCACGCCACGGACACGCCGTTGGAGGCACAGTAAATATTTTATAAAGTTTTGATCACCAATGTGTCTAGATGGCAGTGATCGAATTTGAAGTCAATCTGATAAAATCTGTATGAAGAGTTAGTTATAATTGAAGCCCTGAAATGCTGGAAATGGCATTACAGTTTGACATTTGATTCAAGCTGGCCAACTTTGTACGTTGAAGGGCGTGTCTGTAGCGTGACGTCAGTCACAAATTGCACAAATTTTTATGAACAACATTTTTTGACTGTACTGACCAATTCCAAGCAGATCTGATGAATTCCCTAAAAGGAGTTTGTTAAATTACAATGATTGCAAATATCTGGTAAAAGTACTTAATAATGGTTGACTTTTGGTTTTGGGTATGGGTGCAAATTGATTTTTTGTATGTCAGTTTTGTGCATCTGGGTGAAAGGTATTATCTGTGTTGATTTTTTGAAGTTTTCTTTGGTGAGCTATAGTGTCATTATGACACACCCATGTGCAAGAGGTATATCAGATGGATAATATTTTAACAGGAGGTTTAGCTAAATGGTCAGCTAGAGGTGTAGGAGCACAGTCATTTGCAGGTGTAGCATTAAGTGGATCTGCAGTAGGAGCAGAGCTGTAAGAGGATCAGGCCGAGTTTAACCAGGAGGATCATGCCAGGGAATGCCAGTGCCATAATATTTTCTGTATATAACAAATTGTTTATAGTTTTTACAATTATTGTGAAGCTCATTCATCTATTTCCTCCTACACACTCCACATATTATAGACTAATCTAAGTTTCTAAGTTATTTTAACACATTAACTCATATTCCCTGTGGATCAACCTCAATCTTATAAATAAAGCAGTAATGTTTCTGAAGATTTAAAATTAACTTCCAAATTATAAAAATATTACTTTTCTACTGTTTCTACTATTATAACAAATGAATGTCTCATCTCTTCAATTCATATTTCATTACTACACATACACTTTGACATAACCACCAAATAAACAGCAAATAACCACAACACACAAATAAGCCACGCTAAAAAAGTTTATTATATAAAATGAAAATGAAAAGACTATAACTATAATTTATTATACACATGAAGGAACTGGCGTTCCCTTTGTTGCTCTGGTCTTCCTAAAAGTCTTGCTGACCGCCCTGGTTCAGCACAACAGCCTTGCACATGTGCTACTGCTCCTCCAGGCTGACATCATCCTCTTCTTCCTCCTGGTTAACCACATCCTCCATTTCCTGGTGATTTACAACGTGCATCTCCCCCTGAGGATCCTCCCATTGACCTGCACACATACAAACAAAATATAAGATTCTCAATTGTGGCAGTTAAGGATTTATTCCATTTAATGTCTTGTTCACAAAAATTCACCAACACACATTATTAAAACGGAGTGGCCTGAAGCGCGCTCTCACTCAGCGGACATAACCTTCCACAGCACCGATAATAAGGCGAAACTGTTCCAGCTCTTCACAAACTCCCAGCAGAGCAGCACCCCGCATCACAGAACTTCCTCCTGGCTCATAAATGCACCAAACGTCAACTTCTCTCGCTGCTTGGCCAGCTCAACTACGCAATCCGCATTATCCCCCAAGGTCGATCCTTTTTGTAACACCTGCTTTCCATAGCCTCCTCCATCCCATCTCTCCATGACAACGTCACACTGGACATCGCATGTAAAATGGAGCTAAAATTATGGCACTAGTACCTCTCGTCATGGAACGGCATCTCTTTCTTCTATGACACACACATCACTTCACCACAAGACATCAAGCTTTTCACAGATGCAGCTCCTTCCGTCGGATTTGGTGGCTACTTTAGCGGCAAGTGGTTTTCAGCCAAATGGCCGCCCGAGTTCTCATCGCTCTCCCCTTCCTCCACCATCTACGAAATGTACCCTGTCATCATCGCAGCTATTCTTTGGGGCCACAAATGGTCAAAGAAAATCATCACCATCCACTCCGATAACAGAGCCGTCGTAGACAACAAGGGACGTTCACAATGCCTAGACATCGTGCAGTTCGTCAGGAAGCTCACCTTAGTTTCAGCACAACACCAATTCGTCATCAGAGCATCTCACATCCCTGGCCTTAAAAACACAATCGCTGATGCACTCTCTCGCTTTTTTCATTACAGAAATTCAGGCAACTGGCACCAGCCTCCGATGCTCTTCCGACTCCAGTCCCACCGTTTTCAGCCACAGTCTACAACTGACTCCCCACATGCAAAACCTGGTCACCATTTCACAAGATGCCATCCTGAACAGCGTCACTCCCTGCACACTATCATACATGACCAGATGGAATTGCTTTAAAACCTTCCATGCCACCAATAGTCTTCTGTTCCCTTCTCGACATCATGACACTCTCTAGCTTCATCTCGTTCACCCTTTCCATCCTTAAAATTAAATCTTCCACCATTCAAGCCTATATAAGTGGTATAAACTTTTTTATCAAACTATCCTCCGGAGCACCATGCCAAGCCACTTCTCATTCCCATATCATCATGTTAATCAAAGGTCTCTGCAAACAGGAACGCATCCCTCACCGAAACGCTTGCCCTTAACTTCAGACCTACTCACTCGCTGCATCAGAACTCTCAGAGAAGGCTATTCATCCCCGTATATTGATAAGGTCCTGGAATCCATGTTCCTTCTAGCTTTCTTTGGTTTTCTACGCTGCTCTGAATTCACAGCTTCTACCCTCAAATATAATCCTTCTCACCACACTTCCATTTCTGACATTTCCTTTCATTCCAACGACACCCTCATTTACCACCTTAAACGCAGCAAGACCAACCAGTCCGGTCTACCTCAACCAATCTACCTCTTCCGCCTAGACTGCTTTGAGTCCTTTTGAACTGATACTAGAATACACCAACTCCAGGTTAGCCAGCAGAGCTTCCCCACAGGACCCTCTGTTCACCACTGAGACCGGTAAAATAGCCACACGGAACTGGTTCCACCGGCACTTCCGTCCAATCCTGTCCAAATCAGGAATATCCCCAGAATCGTTCTCTGGGCATTCTTTCCGCATCGGAGCTGCCCCCTCCGCTTCCAAGCAGGGAATCTCAGACATCAAACTCCTCGGCCGATGGTCTTCTACTGCTTATCTCACATACATTCGCAATGACATAAACGACATCAAAAACGCTCACGCGCACCTGTCTTGCTGAAGTTTCTTTGGGGGCTCACGAAGAGATACAAGACGGTTCCCCCACTCAGCGTCTCAACACCCACTCTGTTCCTCCTGACCATCTTGCCGAACTCTTCCCTCCATCCACCTATCCTACCAGCTTTTCTCCCTTTCTATCAACCCTCACCCGTCCTTCCTACACCCCCCTCATTCCTCGACCCCTACCCCATCATCCCTTCATCCTTCCATCCCCTCCATCCTTCGACCCTTTCCCTCCCAGTATTCAATATATGTTCATAACATGTAATAAAATTTTCCTTATTCCATACAGCCATTGGCGTTGTCTTTTTTAGTGAATGTAGCACTAAACCTACAGTGCATACAGACAGTATTCACAGCTTTCACTTTTTCCACATTTCATTATGTTACAGCCTTATTCCAAAATGGATTCAATTAATTTTTTCCCCTCAATTCTACACACAATACCCCATAATGACAACATGAAAAAGGTTTTTTTTTTTAAATGTTTGCAAATTTATTAGAAATAAAGAACGAAAATATAATATGTAGATAAATATTCACAGTCTTTGCTCAATACTTTGTTGTGGCACCTTTGGCAGCAATTACAGCCTCAAGTCTTTTGCAATAGGATGCCACAAGCTTGGCACACCCATCTTTGGCTAGTTTCGCCCATTCCTCTTTACCGAACCTCTTGAGCTCCATCAGGTTGGATGGGGAGTGTCGGTGCACAGCCATTTTCAGATCCCTCCAGAGATGTTCAATAGGATTCAAGTCTGGGCTCTAGCTGGGCAACTCTAAGACATTCACAGAGTTGTCCGAAGACACCCTTGATATCTGCGTGTGTCGTTGCCTGTTGAAAGATGAACCGTCAGCCCAGTCGAGGTCAAGAGCGCTCGGAGCAGGTTTTCTTCCAGGATGTCTCGTACATTGCTGCATTCATCTTTCCTTCAATCATGACTAGTCTCCCAGTTCCGCCGCGAAAAACACCCCACACATGATGCGCCACCACCATCTTCACGTAGGGATGGTATGGCCAGGTGATGACGGTGCCGGTGCTCAAACATAACGCGCATTCACACCAAAGAGTTCGATCTTGTCTCATCAGACCAGATAATTTTGTTTCTCATGGTCTGAGAGTCTTTCAGGTGCCTTTGGCAAACCCCAGGTGGGCTGCCATGTGCCTTTTACTAAGAAGTGGCTTCCGTCGGCCACTCTAACATACAGGCCTGGTTGGTGGAGTGCTACAGCGATGGTCGTCCTTCTGGAAGGTTCTCCTCTCTCCACAGAGGAACCTTGGAGCTCTGTCAGGGTGACCATTGGGTTATTGGTCACCTCCCTAACTAAAGCCCTTCTCCCCCGATCACTCAGTTTAGAGGGACGGCCAGCTCTAGGAAGAGTCCTGGTGGTTCCAAACTTCTTCCATTTACCGATGATGGAGGCCACTGTGCTCATTGGGACCTTTTAAAGCAGCAGAAATGTTTCTGTGCCTTGAGACAATCCTGTCTCGGAGGTCTACAGACAATTCTTCCGACTTCATGCTTGTTTTGTGGTCTAACATGCACTGTTAACTTTGGGACCTTATATAGACAGGTGTGTTCCTTTCCAAATCATGTCCAATCAACTGAATTTACCCCAGGTGGACTCCAATTGAGCTGCAGAAACATCTCAAGGATGATCAGTGGAAACATAATGCACCTGAGCTCAATTTTGAGCTTATCGCTTCTATCAATATGTACATCATGAACATCATTAATCAGTTATAGATTCTCCACAATTCAGTCTTTCACTATATTTTATGAAAACGATATTAAGTATAATGTTAATTCATTCTGAATTACCGGTAACACAGTAAACAAGAGAGACGGAAAAAAACCTCTGAAGCATCATAATCATCATGTTAGTGGTCAAATTTGCTGAACAAAACTCAAGAGAAGCAGCATTTAGAGTTTAGTTTAGTTTTGTGCTAAAGGAAGTAAAGGCCTGTCCCAAATAGAGGCCTGTCCCCAATAAAGGCAGGGGGAGTTCAGTGATTTAAGCAAATAAACGCACCGACTATTATCAGAAGTTTTACGGTATTAAACTATCACAACCACACTATGCACGAACAAAGTCAGCACAATAATTAGTAAAAACAATGACCCAAATAAACACATCGCACAGTTCTCTTACTGACTGTTAAAAAACATATTTGAAGCAACAACTTGACCATAGATACTATAAAAATAAAAGTAGCATAGAAACATATTTAACTACTTCCTATTTAAAGGCTGTAATTAACAATCTTGTATAACAGCAATATATCACTAAATAATTAATGCTATTCTTCATCAGTGTACTGGAGAAAAAATTACGCACGTACACTTCTGATATTTGAATCCTGAAGACACAAGTAAGACTCACTTCTTTGATGTTTTCACAGGTAAGACGCATTTGTGTTTTCCGTGATTTGTATTTTATGTTTGTGTGAGAAAGTGATTTGCAATGTTTTTTCCACTGTATTCACGTTAATAGTACGCATTTGTGGGTTAACCTGTTTACGGTTTTATGTTGTTAAATGTGGTCGAAAGCGTGAGGCGGGCACTCCAGTTGTCTTCTGAAAGTATTAAATGTGTTTCTGTTTTATGGGGGTTTAATTATGACAGTGTTCAAACAACTATATTGTTCATTTATAGTTGTTGTTCTCAACAGTAATGTGTGCAATGATGTCGCTATATTGTGTCTCCGTTATCTGGACCTTAAATAGCTGGCCTGTTATAACCACTAGTTCAAAAAGGCCTACATGTAACTCAGTTTATCCTGTTTGTTGCTGCGAGTTGTTTACCATAAATTCCGTTTGATTTCACGCTAACACGTTTTATGTAGAAACAATATCGACGTGTTTGGTAGTATTTGTTGACACTGGCTTGGTCCCTAATTACAAAATAAATTCAGTGTCACTTAAAATTACTAAAACTACTTGATCAAGAATGTTTTTTTTTAACTAACAAAATTGAGTTAGTTTTACTTAAAATATTCAATGTAATCAATTTCAACAATTTCCTGAGTTAAATGAACTTTAACTGGTTTTACAGTGTATTTTCTGCTCTTGACCTCAGTGTAAGTTACTCTTGATGAATGAGATCATCTAAACTGTAATTAAAAACACTGAGTCAGTCGAATGATTCATTTAATTTCACACTTTCATTAAACCTCTTTTTAGAATTTACAATTACTGTGTGCATAATGATAATTAAAGGTCATTAAAGGTGATCATGATGGGCAGTTTTGGTCAAAATTCAGATTATTTCAAAACACTTTATTTGGAGGTTAGACAGAAAGTGAAAGTTTAATAATCCCTCACTGCACACAACGACAGTAAATACGTAACAATAAACCATCTTACTCTGCTCTGATTGGTTTTTTTTGTTCGGGGCGGGTTGATTCTTGTAAATGCCATCAGGAACACCAGAAGGAGCCAGAACAACCTGATTTAATCAGAGATTAATCGGTCTCATGTTCTACAGTCAGGATATAATTAAAGCTTCAGCAAACATGACACAAAGCTTTTAGTATAAAAATGACAGCTTTAAGTTTTTCTACAGAAGAAAAATAAATAACCACAACTTAACGATTCGGTCAGCAAAACATTTTTTGGTTGATTTAAGAACTTAAAAGTTAAAAGTTTGACTTAAAACCTTAAACATTAGTGAAGTTGCCTTTTAAAATTTTAGTTTTCTCATGTTTTCTTTGTGTTGTGAAATATAAAATGAAACTAATGAAAGAAAAGTGCAGAAATCAGCTCTTTCAGCGACAACTGGAGGAGAAAATACTAACTATTTTAATTACAGTGTAGGTTCAGGCTGCAGTTAAAGACAAGGTATTCTTCTTATCATTTTACATACAAACATGATACAACAAGATAAGTGTTCCAGGCTCTAAAAAAGAGGACTAAGATAAATACTATACATTAAATATAAGAAAACACACTGACATCAGCACATTAAGTTTCACATGTACAACATAAACACAACATAAAAGCGTCAATATTAATAAACAGTGTCGGTACGGCAGCGTGTGAACCCTGAGGCTCCATAAACGTGTAAAAAGTGTAGTTTCTGTATGATTCATATATGTTTGACTCCACAGACATAAACCTGCTGATGATATGAAGTGTTCTGTAGACTGTGATCCATCCCACTGTGAATAATTTATCAATGTACACACAACAAATACACAAAGCCCAGGGCCCAAACACTGTCGTATTTCAAAATAAAATTCAACTTTTAGTGATTTATTGACACAATAAAAGACACATATTAGTGAGTTATGTTATCTGATATTAAATTGTGCTTTTATTTTTGGTTGATAATGAATATTTAACGTTTCACTCAACATCAACAACAATAAAAAAAAACAAACAGCAGCAGCGGAGGTGAAGCTTTAATCAGCCTGTTGTGAATGTTACAGTGATTGTGTTGTACTTAAGAAACACACACACACACACACACACACACACACACACACACACACACACACACACTGCTTGTTTACAGACAAACATTTGAGAAAAACATGATGTAAAATAATCATCTGGAGAAAAACAACACTTGTTTATAATCAAAACAATTCACAAACACATGATTTCTGAATTTGTTTCACTTCCCGTGTGTGTGTGTGTGTGTGTGTGTGTGTGTGTGTGTGTTTGTATGATGGCAAGCAGGTGAAGGTTCATTACACTTGTTATAAACTGTAATACTTCATCTCAAAGTGTAAAAAATATCTGTATTGATGCTGTAGGAATCCCTCTAGCTTTATTTCTGGACGCAGACGCTGTCAAAGTCAGGTCTACATATTTTGAAGCGGAGGACCACAGACCAATATTTGATGAGCTGCGAGTGACAATGTGTTGATAGTTAGACTAAAGACAATAACATATAACATGCAAGACTTCAACGTTTGATATTAAAAATAAAAGTCAGCACATCATGTGTAGACCACGGTGTTAAAATTTCATGTAAATCAGATGATCGCCATACAAGGCTTACTTCCTGTTTCCAGTAGGGGGGCGCTATGAGTGTGAATAAATATTTGCACGTAGATGAGTTCAGGGCGGAACTCTTATGTTAGATGTTCGGTCGAGATTGTAGAAAGGACAATGAAGTTAAGACAACTTCCTGTTTCATGGCGAAACGTCTAAATGCGATGCAACGACACGCCGTTCGAGTCCCGAAGAGCAAAACGTTTAATCATGATTGTCTTTAGATCGCACTGACCAAGTTTGAAGTGGAGCCGATAAATTCCCTTTTGAGGAGTTTGTTTAAACACAACACGTGCAAATCGCCAAAAATATCCACTACATTCAACATGGCCGACTTCCTGTTGGGTTTAGGGTTCAAGAGGGTTTGTTGTTTGTCTCATTTATTTACTACTAATGAATCTCTGTTACTGTAATTTACAGATCCATGCAGCTAATAAAATGTATTTTGCTTATTGATCTTCTGAGATTTAATTGATCAGATTTATTTATTTATGAATGAAAAAAAGCAACGAGACTTCTTTCATTATTTTTATTAACTCTCTGACAAACAACTTTAATTGGGTGTGTGTGTGTGTGTGTGTGTGTGTGTGTGTGTGTGTGTGTGTGTGCGCGCGTGTGTGTGTGTGTGAGTGTGTGTGTGATCATTAGCAAGCTTGGAACAAGATGTCCACATTATCTACACGCACACACACACACACACACACACACCTAACTAGCAGATATTAATGAAAATGATGATGATGATTGATGAAGATGGTGGAGACGATAACAAACACCTGTACAGTTCAGGTAGAAACTGAATGAAAAACACAACAGAGACACTTTTACTTCATTTTAATGAGAAACTGATAAAAAAAAAAAAAAACACACAAAAAAACACAAAAAAACGTTTTAACTCATTTTTACTTTCTGATGTATCGGCCTGAACGTATGTGTTACCATGGTTACCACATTACATCATATACAGGATCAATTGTCAGAAATGTGATATAATGTTCATGTATGTTTTCATTAGTGTTTAATCAGCTGAATATAGGGATCGTCGTGATGTCGCCGTGTTTCTACAGAAGCCCAGAAAGGTGTAAAGTCCATTAATTCCTGGACATGTAACGGACATTATCCCTTTTACAAGCCATAACTCAGTTTCCCTGGTAACACCTGAGGTCCTTCCTAATACCTGGAAGAATCATTACCATCCCATAATGTTCTAATGCAATGTAAATAGATCTGACCTGGCAACAGGAGATATTTCTAGTTCCCTCCAATCAGAGAGCGCTTTGGAGCCCTTATAAAAAGCCTCACGACCCCCCCGGGAAGCTTTGGCGACCCCCCCAGGTTGGAATTACAGTTTTATGGGTTGTAAGAAAACCTCAGGCTGATTTCTCAACATTTTGTTTATTTCTTAAACAAAACTAAACGAATCTGATTTAGTTTTGTTTGTTCCTCCAACTGTCAGAAAATTGCATCTCTGATCAATATTTACATTCAAAGTTCATTTAATTGATCATTTTACATAAGCTTGCAGTTTTTGCTTTTAACTGTTTGGGTTCATTGTGCAGTTTAGTGTATGTATAATAATACATATAATATCCATAAAATATGAATAATAATATAAAGTTTACTCAGTGATAGAAAACAAAAAAGGTTGGGAACCACTGAAATATAAAACATATAAATCATCTTCATATTAATCCAATAACCACGAATATAATGCATCTAGCATCCAGTATGACGTCCTTATATGTGACTTCCTGCCAGAAATATGAGATTTTGTGTTTTTTGCTGTGAGTCAGCTCATATCTGCAGAATGTAGATGATGTTTGCAGATATTTTGCTTCCTGTGTGGAGGATCTGAAAATGTATGACTTTGGTGACACCTGGTGGAGCTTCGAAACACTGATAAAAAGTCTACAGATAGGTGCTTTAAAGAGGAACAATAAGTAGAGAGAGTGTGTGTGTGTGTGTGTGTGTGTGTGTGTGTGTGTGTGTGTGTGTGTGTGGGGCTGTGATGAGCAGCTCGTGGAATCAACTCACCTCTTTGTTGTTGTTGTTGTTGTTTGTTTATTAAAGAGTTTCTCTCCGCAGTCAGAATGCTGAACCTTCAGGAAAAATAACATCCCTCCCTTTTTCTCCACCATGTCACGTTGTTTTGAAAATAAACCTTCAACCCGCCGCCATGGATCGGAGGGCTCAACCGGGAGGCAGGTTAACGGTGAGGCTGGGCTGGGTGCCGTCCCATCATGCCGAGCGACGTGATGAAGGTGGTGTGAACAAAGAAATGTGTGTGTGTTTTCATTGTGCTGCCTTACATTTGTCTAATTTTGTGTGTTTGTGTTTGTTTTATGGTTGTTTACTCACCTCTGCACCTCCACACACACACACACACACACACACACACCTGTGTACACACATTACTGCGTGTTTGCATGAGATTCAGTGTGTTTTCTTGCTTGCGTGTGTTTGCTCGATACCACCTCCGTGCCCGCAGTGCCCGTGTTGTTTTTGTGCGTTAGTGTGTTGTTTTTGTGCATCTGTGCGTGTGTGTGTAGGCAATGAGTACACGGCCCAACACACACGGTAATAGAGCCCGCTGGGACACGAGCAAGTCTACAGTTGCTAGCTGTAAATTGACCCGTGTGTGTGTGTGTGTGTGTGTGTGTTGAGAGGGGGGGTGTCCACAGAGAGCTGTAATAACTGTTATCTGTCCCACAGGCCCTTATCATTTCACACACACACACACACACCTTTATCCAGAGCAACACAGCAGCAGTAATAATTAGAGCTTTAAACCCTCCTCAGGTCAGAGAGAGCGTCACTGAAGCAGACAATCAGCCTGTAGTCTGTGTGTTCACAGTGAAGGAAAATAAATGAAAATAAAATCTGAAATGTCAAATTAAAGATGAGAAATATTCTGTGTTTGCCCGTTTTACCAACTTGGTGCTGCTGACACACAACTGTATGTGGCTGCGTCTCCTGATGACACAGGATCAGTCAATTAATTCTTTTAAAAAATGTACTTTAGACGCCAGAGTTCATTTGTGTTGCTTGAATTACCTGAATGAACTGTATTCTGTCGTCACAGATTACATTAATAAATTACTCTTATTTGCTTTTAGTTTGCGGGGTCTTTGTTGCCCTTGCAGCGGTGTGGTAAGTGTGTGGCTCTCCACCGCTGTCTGTCTCGCCTCTAACCAGGAGGAGAGAGTTGGCAACGGAGCACTGTGCACGAAAATTTTGGGAGTAAAACACCTCAACAGCTGCACCTGTCACCGTCATGTTCTTCTTCCTGTGGCGTTTAAAGGCCGACTAGAATACCTGTAGGCGTTTATGCTGCGCTGTCAGGTCAGAGAGAATTGCATCCTCGGTACTGTAAAAAAACAAGTATCAGAGTATCAGTTCCCTTTACATATAGTGGAGTCCCTCTTTAACCAAGTGCTTATTATTTCAGTCATGACACAGCAGGTCTAACCCCCCCCGATTCCACCAGATACAGCAGCCGTAACCCGCTCGCATTGAGCAGCACAGAGCAGATCAAACTGGCAGCTACATCAACACTGTGGCACCAGAAGTTAGTCAGAGGCAGGTTAGAGGACATTTGAAGCGAGAAACATATCGTTTTGCTTCCTTTTTAAGTACAAAATACACAAGTAAACAACGACAGGCAGGCAACTCGCTCTGAAGATCGTTTCTGAAATGCTCCCAGTGAGATTTGAAGACTTGTGGATCACGGAGCCAAACCGCGACACAGGCGTGGCTTTATAAAGACATGCCTAGCGGAATGTCAGGGTAAAACTCAGACAAAGAAACTGGTTGCAAAATCTGCTTTTTATTACCTAAAAATAAAACAATTTCTCTGAGTGACACAGAGAAACTAATGTATGCTTTTATGTCAAGTAGGCTGGATAACTGTAATGCTTTCTTTCTGGTCGACCAGAGAAAGTTACAAATCAGTTGCAGTTGATTTAGCTGAGGGTTGACCAGAACCAGAAAGAGAGAACACAGTACACAGGTTGCAAAGTTCTTACATTAATTTAATGACTTTGTTTTTAAAGGCTCATCACAGTCTGTCACACATGCTCACACTGCAAGTAGTTCCAACAAAAAGGAAAACCTTCGTCAAACAATGACAGTAAAAGACCGGTAAATAGGTTAAAGTTTCTGTAAGTAGTAGTAGTGTAAAGAAGTAGTTTTTGTTATATCTTACAATAAGAAACAAATTCTTCAAACAGCATAATAAAAAAAGAGATAATTGAAACTTAACAGCTGCTTTGTTTCCAACACTGGGACAACACGACTTTCTCTTAAACTGAGAAATAGTGCGAGTGCTCTTACTCTGAAAAGAAGGACAATAATCTCGTTCCTCTGCTGGGATATTATGCAACCAATGTTGTTACTGGTTAAATCGAGCTCAATATTAGCTGCAATTTCTTATTAAGACAAAGTTAAATAGATTTTCTTAAAACCAGATTTCTTTTCTCATGCAAAACATGCTTTTTTTTTATAGTTTTACTGCCTTGAGATTCTTTTTTTGCAGTGCAAGGAGGTCAGTGGCCGCCTTTGAACAGACACAAACACTGAATTCACTTTCCTCTAAAAAGTAAAGGCCTTTGAAGGTGTAAAAAGTCTTAAATTTAATTAACATGGATCTTAAATTGCGTCTTTTGGCTGCTGTAGGCAGTAATGTAGATGTAACATGTTTCTGTATGTGATTGCAGGCTGTCTGGAGATGATCTACACTTCTAAACTAACAGTCTGACTGTTGGCTGTTCAGTCAAACACTGTCTCTGCGGCAGCTACTGAGCTCTGGAAGAACTGAAGGTTTCTGCAAAAACTTACATAAACTTAAATTAATTCATTATTTTTAATTGGTTAATTAATTACTTCCGTATTATGCCACATATTCAGGACCAGGTTTAATTTAATAAAGTACATCAAAGGAATTAATGGTATATACTGCTGAAATTTTTTTATATAATTTACCACTTTAATTGGTAGGATCGTATAAACCAGCCCCAGGCATATAAACCTTTTTCCTTAGAGACACCTTTTCTATAATTTAGTAAACTAAGTGACATATTCTATATATATATTGGATATTTCATATTGTTTTCAAAACTGTACAATGAACCCAAACAGTGAACTCAGTAACTGCAGGAAGTTTATGTAAAATGATTGAAATTAAATAATTTTGAGCAGATTATTTCCTGTTTAGGGAACGTTTTATACAACTCTGTCTGTATTAAGTGTTATTTTTCAAACGATCATAAATACCTAATAGGACAACACTGAATTTGTCAGAAAAAATAAGCCTGTCTCGGATGTTTACCGGATAATGTATTTTATGTGGTATGAAAAATGTCTTTAAAGGTCTTTTAACTTTTTGACAGCAGCAGAATGCTCCTCTATGTCGACGACAACCCGTTATCTTATGCCTTCTGTTTGCTGTTGTTGTTTTTTGTAGAAGTTATTCACTTCATCAGTGGTTCAAACAGTTCACCATCCTGACGTTCGAGTCAACACAAACTGTAGCTGAGAGCCGCGCTGTGTTACTTAGATAACTTTATTTTTGGTATAAAACACTCTCTGCAAAAACAAACAAGTTAATAAGAAGTTGACAAGGTGAAGCACTTCCTCGTCAACTTCGTATAGTTTCAGACACTTTACATGACTTTTAATTTCATCTGTTTCAATGGAATCAAAATAAAAACTGACCAGCTGAAAAACAACTTCCTCCTCCTTAAATCGTGTGTGTGTGTGTGTGTGTGTGTGTGTGTGTGTGTGTGTGTGTGTGTTTAATTGCAGCAGCTATGTTCTGTCCACGTCTGCAGGTTGTTGGTTAATTGGTGCTGGAGGCTCAGCTCGTTAACTCTGCTCTCATCTGCCTCGCAAACAGCCTCACACCAATTACTACTGCTCTCTCTCTCTCTCTCTCTCTCTCTCTCTCTCTCACTCTCGCCGTTCCTCATGTTTTTTGTTTTTTCATATTTAAATTTGCTTTATAATTAAGTACAGTATTGTGAAAGCAGGTTAGGATTACAGCGATTATGTTTATTGCATAAATACAGAAACTAAGACGAAAATCCTTCTTCACTGTCTTATGTTTAATTTTAGCACCTTCTCACTCCAACGGTACGATCACTAAGGCTCATACAATCAATAAACAGTTGACCTTTCCTTTTATTATGGTAACAAGATATTAGTATTGTTTATTTTACTGTTTTGACGGTGTGGTCCACGTGACGCTGCCGCAGCACACCACCAACGGGCACAAAGTGCGATCATCACTGCTTGCAGCATTTAATGATGAATTATATTTCATGATAATAAACATATGCACATATTAATAGGTAAAGTAATTAGTAGCAGGGATTAATAATTACATTTTTTTGTGCATTTCTTCTCAAAGTTTCTGGCGCCACCTGGTGGAGGCCCCGACCTCCACTTTCAAAAGCACTGATACAGGCTATTTACAAATGTACATAAAACAGCATATGAAGAAATAATACACTTCTTCTCTCCTCTCTCTCCCCCTTTCCTCACATCCCTCTTGATTGACACCTAGACAACCAATTACTATTTTGTTACCATGACAACGCTCTCTCTCTCTCTCTCTCAGCCTCTCTTTCTGCCATTTTGCAACCTCTCTCCCTCTTTTGATTGACATCTTAACAACCAATTACAGCTGACAACTCTCCCCCTCTCTCTACCCCCCAGGATGAAACCACTCTTGTTGTTGTTGTTGTTGTTGTTGTTGTTGTTTTTCAGGCTGCTGCTGGGCACTTAAACGCACCATCACACCCACTAAGGAAGTCTATTGAACAAACGCAGCGCCCCTGTTTACCAATAGGAGATTGGCGTGGGTTCCCCCAATGCCCCGCCCTCTTCAACACCAAAACACCACTCAAGGTGTTCGACTTTAACACTTGTTATTAATATGTAAAAGTTTTATTTAGCAGTTTTTCAGGTCAGATCAACCTTATATAACCTTTTTATTTATTCTGTAGGGGTGTTGTGGTTGTGAAAATGGTCACAGATGCCATATTAATAATATATTAATATTAAGAGTAAACACACTGTAAAAACAATGGTAAACTCTCTTTATGATTTCAGGTTTTTTTTCTTTAAAATGTTCTCTGTATTTTGAATTACGTGACTGAAGGTGCAGACGATTCTCCGGCTGGAGTTTGAATCCGAGGACAGACGCCGGCTGGAAGCTTTCGGGATCTCTGATGATGTTTTTGTGTCGGAGGAAAAAGTGCGACAACACGCCAGCAGGACGACCAAAACTGTCGCACCATCGCACAAACAGCTCGTACACGCTCTGTCTGTCTGCGAGCATGTGTGTGTTTCAACACAGCCGCCCCCCCCGCCACGTCGCCCAGAGAGAGAAGCAGCTCTGGAGTTTGTCGTCATATTGAGAGCACATTAGCATCTCTCTCAAAGACAGTTTCACTCTGAAAGGATTAAATCTCTGTTCTTTATCTCCAAATGATCTTTTACTCCTTTCTCTTTTAAAGTTAGAGTTCACCCTTCCTAAGCCCCGCCCCTTTTTGGTCTGTGCTCCAATAGAAGTTGAGCTGGGTCAACTGCAGGGAGTGATGTTGTGGAGTGGGGCCCGAATAGCCACCAGAACCAGAGCCAGGCGACGGAACCAGGGTTTTTCTAACATTAGCTTTCACTACTACTACTAACTAGCTAGTTAATTATTGATGTTGATTAGCTTGGAGGTTAGCTAGCATTTAGCTAACATTAGCTTTCAGACACGACCAGCTGATTAAGGTAGATCAAATAGTTCACAATACCGAGAGATCAACTGTAAATCTCTTAATTCTGAACCGATTTTCATGAAACTTGGTTTGTTATGAACATGAGAAATTGAACTTGATTCTGGTTTTAGCGGATCTTTAATCTTAATGTGACCACGCAGTTGAACGTTGATTTGGGAACACAGCATCTACGTTTCTATTTCTATGGCGCTACTAAAACGACCTGTTAAGACTCTGACTTTGACATCTATCTGTCATTCTTTATCTGTCTCTCTCCTTCTCTTTATATCTCTTTTACTCGTCTATTTCTCAACATGTTTTCATTTTAAACCTCATTATTCAGTTAAAATGCACGCTCTCTCTCTCTCTTCCTCTCTCTCGCTCTCTCTCTCCCTTATTATCCTGCTGGTTGAGAGTCTGTGTGGGCAGATTACAGCCTTTTCAATGAAATCCTCCTCTCAAAAGGAAGGTACAGCTGTGAGAGTGTGTGTGTGTTATTGAGTGTTTGCACGTGTCTCACAGAGTGTGTGTTGTGTGTCCTCTCCTGTGTAAGTGTGTGTGTGTGTGTGTGTGTGTGTGTGTGTGTATAGAGACCCATTAGTGAGCTCTTGATTGACAGACTCAAGGACAGAGTGTGCTGCAGCTCGGCTTCATTAGCACAGGTGTTGGAGTGTGTGTGTGTGTGTGTGTGTGTGTGTGTGTAAAGTGTGTTTGTACAACATGAGTTGAATCATCACTATCCTCTGGAAACTGTCCACCAGAGAAAAACAGCAGTTGTTTCAGCAGAAGAAGTGACGGCGCCCCCCAGTGGCCGCAGTAATAATGGCGGTCGTCCGTTGGTAGCTTCAAGTAGCGTGACGAGGTCGAACATTATTGAGTTTAACTAAAAAAGGATGAAAATCGATGCAGAAGAACCAGATATAGTGTTTATTACTCCACGTGTTCTTCCTCGTCAGAACCTCCCGCCTTCATTACCCACAATGCAACACGACCGCCGACAGTTGGGTGGGAAACCGAGGTGTGTTATATGCGCTAGCAGCGGCTAATGTAGCCTGCAGCAGAAGGAGAGCAGCTACAGAGGTCTGGTATCTTTCTAAATCCTCAACTGACGCCGACTCGAGTGACATCACTTGAGGACGTTTATCAGTAGGCTTCGGTATCGTTTGGGGTTTTTTATGATACCGGTGCTCAAATATTTTAAACACGAGGAACAAAATGACGACATGCACTTAAATATATTAATAACAAATTCAGATAATAACAATAAAACCTAAAACTACACTAGCTACTAGCTAGCGGTAGGCTACCTGCTGCCAGAGCCATTAAGAGAGACGGCGGTGATTCGAGGCACCGATATGTGAGCCGTGATTCGGTCCGATAGACACCGGCTGTATATATGGCTGTGTGTGCATTCTGTCTGTTTAAGCGAGTTTGTAAAAAATATAATAGAAAGAAAGAAACACCACCACCATATGCATAAAATCTGTGCTAAGCAACAAGAACAGTCGGCATCTACATTTGTATTTATTACAGTCAACGTCAGAGCCCTCAGTTTACGTTACAACAGCAGGTCTGACTGTAACAGAGGAACACAATCAGCTCCTGCACAGAGCCCTGACCCTAAAACCTTTGGCACGAACCAGACTGTGAGCCAGCCCTGATGAGCCACTGTCAGTGCTGGACCTCATTAGTGCTCTGGTGTAAATCCCTGCAGCTGGTTCAACATCTGGAGAAAAGACTAGAACCAAAAGAGTGGAGGCTGTTAAAGGAGCTCATTAACAAACAGTGTGACAGTCACATTTCCTCGTGGCTGCAATGGCTGGGTGTCCACATACTTTTGGCCAGGTAGTATTGTAGCCATCAGGAACATAGACACTCTCTGGTGTCGTCTGTAAAGAAAGTGTTATTATTATATATTATAATTTACTATTACAGTAAAAGGATATTAGTACTGTTGAGTGTTAATCCAAATTTTTACCCTCAACAGAAACAGTTTAACTGTGTGAAAATACCATATGATGCTCTGATGGTGGTTTTCTGTGCAATTTACAGTCTGTAATATAAAAAAAGGACTTTATTCCATATACATTTCTTTAAAATGTCATATAAATAAGTGTTTTACTGTTACAGAAACTTAGAAACTAACCTATTTACAGTTTACAGTCTTTTACTGTCATTGTTTGTTTTGTGTTTAACCATAAAATCTACAGACATTTCTTACAGTGTACGATTAAAGAGGTTATATTTTATGTTAGTTCCTACATATAACAGGTAAAACTTAATGAATCATTCAGATGTATTTAGTGAGACATTCAGGAGTTCGAGGCGTCACAGGAAAGAAAACAAAAGAAAATTTGAAAACTGTTTGCAGACTGTGACACCCGGCGTGTACACACACCGACTCGCTGTAATTGTTTTCTGTGCCGTCGTTGTGTGTTGTCGTGTTGTCGGTGTGTATTTTCGGCCGCCCTGTGAGAGAAGGTGTTCACAGCAGCTCCCTACGGGCTCCACACAGACAGCTACTGAAGCCTTGTTAGAGCTTATAATGAGCCATAAAAGTGCTCAGCTGTATTAAACATGCATGTGAATATCACCTGTATGCGCACACACACACACACACACACACACACACACACACACACACACACACACTTCTGTCCCGCAGGAACAAATAAAGCCATATTGTCCCCGGTCTGATTGCTGTGATAATTAATGTAACATACGACCAGAAAAACACACTGAGACCAATTACACCAGAGAAAGCGAGCAGACAGGATGAAACAGAGGGAGCGTCAAACAGATTAAAAACTGAGGTGAAATGTAAGATCGCCTTTTATAGTTAAAGTTATGAAGTGCTGAGTGGTACAAATAAAATTGCAATAAACAACAATAAAACACAAAATATTGAATTAAAATAGAGGAAAGGCTGTTTGAGCTTTAAAGGACCTGCGTGGTGGATTTAGTGGCATCTAGTGGTGAAGTTGCAGATTGCAAACACCTGGATACAGCTCAACGTTAGCCCCAAATTCCACCGGGCGTCAAGCAGCACAGAGAAGATCGCAGTGGCAGCAAGTCGGACACAGAAACAGCATAGAGAACTCGACAGGAAGTCAAACAGTCAGAGGAGATTAAAAGCGAAGAAACAAACGACATTAGTCCACAAAAAGAGGCAGTAGGCGCTTAGCAACATGCTAAAGCAAACAGCAGGATAAACAACAAATGAGAATGAGAAAACCTACAGCTTGTTTGAACCCTCGTTACTCTGTAGCAGTCTGTAGTAAAATGCACAGGCTGGGGAAGATTTACAGATTGTTGCTTGTTCGACATGGTGTCAGTTAGTTTGGAGCTCAGTAAATGTCCAGTAAGTTGCTGCCAGTTAAAGGTGTAAAAACGGAGCTGTTTTGACATCCGGACTTATAGGTCTTATCGTCTATTAAACCAGACGATTATTAAAACAGAACCACATTTGATGGATACATGATGGTATAAAAATGTAAAAATACATAATACAGAGAATTTAATAAAATATTCACAGGTAACAATCTTTAAACTGGTAATTGAAACACAAATCAACAGCATGGTCTGACTCTAAAAAAGCCCCACTGGTCAGCTCAGACTGGGAGTGCTGCAGAGGCCTCCATGGCCCCCCCCCCCGGAGGAGGAAGGCGGAGGCATCTCTCTCTCACCGCTGGTTACATTGGAGACTGTGGGAGTGACGTCCAGGTAATTAAAAGCAGCAGAGCCACTTTCACCCCACAGCCTGGAAACATGTGGCAACTTGTTAATTTACCTCCATCCTCCTCCTCCCCCCCCCCCTCAGCTCCCTGCGGAGAGGAGACAGATGGGTTGGGAGTCACCTGAGGCAGCAGGAGGAGCGAGGCAGGAGACTTTTATTAGGACAAAGTTTTCATGCAATAATCATACGTGTCATCTTTCTATCTACTTTATAGAATAAACCAAAACAAATGCAGTTTGTTGGGGTTGACATCATTTGGGGAAAATGAGGTCACATTTTTACTGTTGCTATGACAATAACATGTGAGAGTGAATTGCTGATGCTGATATTGGTTCGTTAATATATTTTAAAAACTACTGGCCAGAATTCAGGAAACTGGACATTCAGACTCTACTGAGGATAAACCTTGATGATTTTCATGATTCTGTATGTTCCTGTAGATTTTCATTACACTTCCTGACTCCCGAGAGGATCCCTTTTAGATTTTAATACCTGCATTAACATGATTTTAGCACCAGAGACTACAGTCAAGAGTTAGAGGTCAGATAAGTTAATTTCTAGAGCACATACACAGTGGAAGAGTCAATGTGCTCAACCCCAACAAACACCGATATTAGACGTTTCTGCAAAACCTCGGATTATGTTCAATGACAACCTTCATTGTTTTACATTTTTAAAATGATTTATTATAAAATAACAAAATGCGCGCTCCCCATTAACTGTGCCCCAAAGCAGCAGTTTAAACAACAGCGGAGTCGCTAACTTCCTGTTTAGGCCTTTGTCAACTTGAATGGGGATAAAATGTTTTAATCGTGCAGCTCGAGACTTTCAAAATGTTATCGGATCAAATGGTTTCAATTCTAACCAGAGATGTACTGATACCGACACCAGTATCAGGTCCAATACTGTGCTCGTGTACTCTATTACTAGTGTAGTCAAAAAACTACTCAGGTACCACTTAACAGCAGCGTGACGTTATATAACTTAATATAATTTGTTGTCTGTTCACCTTGTCACCAAAAGCCAAAGGAAATTTTGCTTTTGTCTTTATTCAACAGTGAAAAAGTATCTTAGTGTCTTAAATAAACTGTATAAGCAAAGTAATCAGAGATCAGTCAAGGCAAGAGAGGCATGTTGGGAATTTTCTGCATATTAAAGAAATGTGTTTTTGTATGATGTAGGTTAAATAAAAGAAAGAAGTTGAGAGTAAACCTATAAAATATAACTTTTCACTTCCACAGTCGACACTAAAGAAGTCGCTAAAGAAGTTCACTGCAGCCAAAATGTGAGTCCAGATCCTCTGTTGACCACGGATTAATAAATTATATAAAAACATTTATATTTTAATAACATTGTGTGAATTAGTTAATGTTCATGAGACACTTCCTTATACTGTCACATCTTTACTGTGCGTCTTTCAGAGGTTAACACAGGTTAAATACATTTCACTGAGCCTATTAACAAGCACACTGTTACCCACAATCCACGTTGCCAGCTAAATATTAGGTATCACTCATTTAAAGTATAATTGGCCCTTTATTTCTGTTTTTAAATGAAACGCGACCTGTGACAGTTAAATATCAGAGCGAGGTAAAAATAAAACGTAAGATTACCTAATGCTATTTTTACTCTGGTTTCTATGACAACAAAAGGATCAGATTGAACATTTTCGACATACAATCTGACATGTTACTGCAAACACTCATAAAAAGGGGATAATTGTGTTTAACGTGACTCACACACACACACACACACACACACACACACACACACACACACACACACACAGGTACATGTAGAAACCATAAATGTCAACAGAATTATTGATGTTATTTAAAAAGTGTCATCAGTGGAAGAGGATGTAAATGTCAACGTATAAAAAACTACTGTATGTAAGTTTATATCAGCTCAGTTTAATGTGGAAGACAAATTCACTTTGAAAGCTTTATGGGCTACTCTAAATAAAGTTGTGTTTGCCAGAACTTTCTACTAATACGATATAAGGATATTAGTACTGTTGAGTTTTAATCCATATTTTACTGTATAGATAAATACAAGTTTTTACATATGAAAATACCATATGATGCTTTAACGGTGGTTTTCTGTGCAATTTACAGTCTGTAATATAAAAAATGACTTCCAGTATGTTTATTTACTACGGAGCCCCTAAAGGGACATGAAAAAAAAAAAAAAATGAAACGTTTCTAGTGAGCACTAGATAGTATCTAGTGCTCACTAGATAGTATCTAGTGCGCACTAGATAGTATCTTGTGCTCACTAGATACGGATCTAGTGCGCACTAGATAGTATCTTGTGCTCACTAGATACGGATCTAGTGCGCACTAGATAGTATCTTGTGCTCACTAGATACTATCTAGTGCGCACTAGATACGGCTCTCGTGCGGGCATGATGTCTGAGAGACCATCCACTGCATTTCGGTTTGTGTTTCTGTGTGAAAATGACAGTACAGGAGTTAGTTCAACTATATTTTAACCTGGGACTTCATTATAAGGACATTGCTGCTTTACTTGCAAGTCGTCACCGTCATGTTGTGTCTGAAAGACATTTAAAACGAATTTTGAAGTCTTGTAGTTTGTTTCGGCGCAAGGGATACGTCACTTTGGATCACGTAGTTAATTTCATTCATGAACAGTTACAAACATCTGGCCAACTCTGTGGGTATAGGTGGATGTACACAAAATGCAAGGAGAATGGATTACACGTCAAGAAAGAAGAGGTACGCTTAATTCTAAAAGAACTTGACCCGAGGGGTGTTGAACTCAGAGCAAGGAGACGGCTCCATCGCCGAAGCTATTTTGCAAAAGGGCCCAATTATATTTGGCACTTTGACTCTTATGACAAACTGAAGCCATTTGGTATCTGTATCAATGGCTGCATTGACGGGTTTTCCCGGAAAATTATCTGGATGAATGCATTTACTACCAGCAGTGACCCAAAAATCATCGGAGGCTACTACATAGAGGCAGTCCAGAGATTGGGTGGTTGTCCAAGGATTGTCAGAGGCGACCGGGGCACAGAGAATGTTAAAGTCAGAGACTTTCAGCGTTTTCTTCGTCGCAACATTCACGACGGCTCCGGCATTGACAGCTACATTGAAGGGGCAAGCACAGCAAATCAGCGAATAGAGAGTTGGTGGGGCTTCCTCAGAAGGGAATCAATGGAATTCTACATCTCTCTGTTTAATGATCTGAAGGACCGTGGCTTGTTCGATGGTGCATATTTGGACAGAAGTCTAATCCAGTTCTGCTTCATGGGAATCATTCAGGTACAAATGTATCATATTGTTATGTAAAACCTAATTTCATCTTAAATTGTGTCCCACAAATGTTTTTTTGTTGTTGTTACATTCTCCAATGAGCAGCTGTCCACCTGTCTTAATCACTGTCATCCATGTGGTGTCCTACAATAATAATTCATAATGAAACGCGAAAATGGCTCTAACAGGGTTTTTTGAGCATGGAGGCGCCACGCACCGGTCTGCCATATCGTCACATTGTGTGTGCCCTCTCAGTGTCAATCATACTACTGATAGATGAGAGAAGGGGCTGATTAATTAGAATATAACATAACTTGTTGTGGGTGGAAACCACCAAAATGGTAGAAAAAGTTGCCTAAAACTAATTTTGTTGCCCAAACTTTATACTTTATTTAATGAGAATAAACACAGTAAAAGCAACTCAGGAAAACGGGCAGCGAGCCAAGCAAACAGCCAACCATTCAATCAATCTGTTAATCATTTAATTGTTTACAGTTAACTGATCGTTAAGGAAATAATCTAATAAAGATAATAAAAATACAGAAAACAGGCCTGACACCGCCACATTATACTATATATTCAATAATCCATCTATTCTGGGGGGTGGGAATGACTGTGTGTGTGATTTGATGTGTGCACAGATTCGGGAGGTGCCGGTTGATAATGGTTTAGCACTGTAAAAGCTGCCTGAATATGTGTTCAGACATCCAGAGTGGCAGCAGAGGAGCACATATCCCATAACATACACATAATCAGGCCTAATATGATATCAGCTTGACTAGTGTGTGTGTGTGTGTGTGTGTGTGTGTGTGTCTGTGTGTGTGTGAGAGAGAGAGCTATATGTCGACTATAAGCCTCCTTGTGTGTGTTTATGTGGTCTGTGTTGCAATGTTGCTGTCCACGGTGCTGAATCGTCCTGAGCGCAGACACGCCACGGCTTCTTCATTATGATTTATTTTAGCTTACTCTGAACTGCCATTTTAATCGAAGATAAACTTCCAAAGAATACTCAAAATATTTCTCTTTATTCAATTAATCCAAAAAGCATTCTTATTCTTTCTGATAGCTTTTCATTCCCTTCAGGCGTCTTCACGGCTCTCAATTTAATATTGATATATGCGATCATGCAAAACACAAAATAAGTACCATGGATAGCGCCACTCAGCCAGCCGTGCCAAAACACTTATAACTTTAGTATTTAATAAAATAATAAATAATAATGGAAAATAATATATAGTGAGCGAACTCTATCAGACGGAGCACGAAATAACAGCAACGGCTGCGAATCCATCTCTCTGCTCTTCGAAATTTTTGTTCTATCTATCTTTGAAATTTTTGTTTATTTTCCTATCATTTCTCCTTACTTCATCAGAAAAGTCAGCATTTAGCATGATTTATTTCAAAACTTTTATAAGGCCCACATGAGAATTACAAATTGCATATCAATTAACTTGTTTTCTTACTTTCTAATATACCGTTATTCCAGGACGAATTAGATGAGACCATCCATGTGTGGGATTCACATGTCATCAGACCATCGAAGAATGACAGGGTACCCAGTGGTCGACCTCGAATCATGTACATGTTCCCAGAACTCTACACAAGTGATGACCGCATTTCCCCAGTGGACAGAGCTGATGTGCAGTTGTGTCAGAGTAACTGCACATTTCGACCAGCAGTGCCATGTGACCCAGACATCTACAACATCTGCAACATTCTGATGGTGGAGTCACAGCTGCATCTTCCAGCTGATGCTTATCAAGCATTTGATTTGTACCTGCATTTGAGGAATGAGATAAGATCCGCTCTCTAATTTGAGATGGAACTACATTTGTATCCATCTAAACTGAACACGTGATCAGACAATTCTTCTGCAGTCCACCATGCTTTATTCACCAAACATTCTCAGTTGTAAAGTTTTCCCAGGAACTCTGTAGAAGCTATATTTGGAATTTTGGATTATTTCTCCTTGGAAAAAGGATTGATCTGTCACTATGTGCACACTGACTGTTACAGACATTAAGAACATTTGCAGCGATATTGTGCACACAGTTTTTCAAGGTACTTTGCAGTTTTGCCTGTCATGGATAACTTTTAGCAGTTCTTGTGTGGATTTAGGCTGTCTCAGTTGTTTCTGTCTCTTGAAGCCTGTGTTTCTTTGAATCAGTCTGGGATTACCTCGGATTTTTCAAATGACAGAGTATTAGCTCTTCTCAGTAATTTGTGCTGGAATTTGAGATTTAAATTTGTTGTACAGCACATAGGAGTATTGTCATAGATGTTTTACTTTGCCTTTACATCAGTCATGAACAGGAAACGAACAAAATCACAACAAAGAAAAACAACATGGCAGGGCATGAAAGAGGAATTACATTTTTATTCAACAATATTGAGCTCTTGACAGTTACTGTCTGTATGTTTACCATATGAGGCTCCAACAAAAACAGCCATGTGTAGCCATTTGAAATGGTACTGTATGTACATCAAACAGGTATTATTTTGTTGAATGCTGAACTTCTTTCTTAATAACAATTGCAGAAAACATGCACATCATAATATGAAAATGAAAAGGGATGTTCACCTATGAGAGCAGACCTTTCTGACTTATCAAAATGATTAAACTTAAACTGTCTTTTGGACTTAAACAAAATGTAAAACTCAGTGTGCTGACAAATATTACAACAAAATCATTAACAATAAGAAAAAAACAAAACCAAAGCAAAAAAAAGTAAAAACTGTTTGTTTCAGTTTTAATAAAGGTTCAATAAAGCAATGTCATCAGATTATGCATCTGATTTTATCTCCTCTCGTTGTAGAACATTTTTTTCTTAGTTGTAATACACGAATGAACAAATACAGTTTTTTAAATGTAAATCTGTAGATTTGTTTCAGACAAATGCTATAACAATGTCAGTAGAAGAGGAACATTCACTACACAATATCCATTGTAAAGCAATCGCCAGACAGGACATTGTCAAACTCTTGACGAAACTCAGGGTATGAGCTGTAGGTGCATGGTAACTCAAGAACTGCTCCACATGTGTGTGCTACAGGCCTGCGACTTAAACCACACAATCTATTAAAAGTTACTTCGATTGTGTCTGTGCACAGCACAGTGGACCCTATGCAGAAGCGTAAGAAGATCTCCAGTTTTCTTTGGTCGATGCTTCTCACATACCGTAGCAGGTGGTTAAGAGCTGTCTGCTCTTGTGGATTTAGGCTTTCAGTTGATGGCTTTATCATCTGGGCCACTTTCTTGTTAGTTGGCCGCTTAGATTCGTAAAGCTCCATTATGCTTTCTTTGGTTATGAGTGTTGGCACAGCATTGTGAATACTGGAGTGGAAACAGTCAATTATGAACTTTGGCTCTTGAAGAAGAGCTTTGTGTGCCATTGTTAAAATGGCAGCCCGTACGTTGTCTTTAGAGGGCAGGCAGTGTGAGCCCATTCTTGAGAAGACGTCGAGTAAGTCCTCTTCAACAGTTTCATCAATGTTGCCCTGTAGTGCTTTTTCAAGTGATGCACGCTCATTCTCTGAAAGAAATCTGGAAAATGACATCATCAAGAGTTCTTCATCCACTGAACCAAGTCCTTGACAACAGGCAAGAACAAAAGCTGGTGACAGTCTGATTGGTATGATTTTGTGGTCCAGGTATCCTTTCAACCACACTCTTCCAAGAGCTTGCCATGCCTTCTCAGAATAGTCTGGTCGTAGTCTGGGTACTCGTTCATCTTCCCCTCACACTGTTCCAAGAAATGTTCCCAGAACGCAGAGTATACCTCTTGACACACCATCACTGTCCACAGCTTTCTCATTTGTAAACTCCATTTTTAGATTAGCATTCAGTATTTTTGGTTCCATGAAGATATTAAGGACATCATCAACTATGTTTACTCGTCTTAATTTCACAAGGAGTTCTTTTTCAAATGGGTCTGGTGATGCTGGAAGACTGCTTGATGATACAGGTCCATCATTCAGTGTAGAGTGCTGCAAGATTTTTAAAAAAAGTAATTAGGTGTGATTATTGATCGATTAATCAATTGGTGAACAGAAAATGAATCAACGACTTTGACAATCAATATATCAATTAGCATGCAGAAATGAATTATGCTGTGGTTCTAGATTTGCTGCTTTTCTGTCTTATATCACAATACATGGAATATCTTTTGGTTTTGGAATGTTTGGATGAAAAAGTAATCTAAAAACATCAGCTTGGTGTGAGAGAACTTGGGATGAAAATTTGTCACTGTTTTGTACATTTCATAGACAGAATAATGAATAGGGAAAACTCTTTAAAAGAATCAATAATGGCAGTAATATTCTTTTTGCAGCACTGCTAGAAATGACTCAGTTCTACACTATACCTGCATACTGGTGGAGTCTTGATTATCACCATCATCACCACAAACAGGTCCAAAGTTTACTTCAAAGTCCCCAAGAGATGCTTGGATGGCAAGGGCAAGAGGGGAATCCAACTCGTCATTTAACAACTGGTCTGGATCTTGATTTGACACAGGCATTAAACACTCGTCTTCAGATCCATGCCTGCTTGTTGATTGCCGAGTTTGATTGCCAACATCATCGGAAGATGGTGGATGCAGGACCTCCTGTGTTGCTCATCTCAGGAGTTGATGGTCTTGATTGACTGATTGGTTCTCCTCTGTTGATAATTAAATGAAAAACAAAACAAACATATAATTATTACCTTATCTTTGTTTTTGCATCATCTGATCAAAGCTGTCATGTGACTATCACATTCATGTGATTAAAACATCTTGCACCTGAGCAGATTGTTTTGGTATATGCATATTGAGTTAATGTGGCATTGAACTCAAAACCTTTGCCCACTTCCATCATCTTAGCTGCAGTTAAAATTTGAGATGGATTTACATTTGTTGTTTGCAACAAAATCATGGTCTCTTAAATCCCATCTCTGTCCTCACAGACTTCACGAGTTCGCAAGTTTTGGATTTTATCTTTGACTTTATTTTTTGGTTTCAATTTTGTATTTGATATTTTGATTGATACATTTTTTGTTTCCATTTTAAAAAGTATTGTTTGAACACTTAGGTACAAATTAATCTCCATACAACACAAGTTCCATACTGTATATCACAAACTGGGTCCATAAAAAATATGCAATACCGGGGGCTTACTTTTCATGGTTTTCCTGCATTGAGCCACTGGGTGCTGGATCTAAATCAGTGGAGCTCTCTGGATGATCCCCTCGATGATCAGTTCCAGTCCTCCAGTGATGACATCTCCTGGTTTTGTTCCTCAAGGATTGTCTCTGCATTGTCCTAGTCTATAAAGAAATCAGCAGATCAGCAAATTATAGGCTTATACAGCCATGATTGTCCAACTGTTCAATACAAGTCTTTCTGAACTTATTGTGATTGAACATGCACATAAGTGGAGAGAGAAGTAGAGCAAATATGTTTAGAAAACTGTATTTACATCTCTTGACCTCTTGCAACTCAACTATCACCCCTGATTCAGCAGATAAACATTTTTTGTTTGCAGGCTTCATGATCCTAATAGATTTGACATGAGTTAAGACAATAGATTTATCCTCAAAAATCACTGATTCTAGTTGTTGAATTTCATGAGAAGAAAGACAGATAAACTACATGGCTGTAAGACTAAGATTATTTTGGCCAGATCCACAAAAAATTAATTGCGCCTGCTAATTGCACCAGAATTGTGCAGCATTTGCACCCCCAATCTGCCCCGTTTAATGCCGTTTAATTGAATATGCCATATTTAAGAACACAGATTGGTCTATAATGAACATTGCAAAGAGCACAAATGCCCTACATTGCATGTCTTTAATTAGCAGAAGTGTGCACAAATAAAGCTCTCCACAATCACAAACCAACTTCCATGTATTTGTACTATTATAGTATTTTACATCTATAACATAATCTACTGAGATTTTCCTTCATAGTACAGCTATTAATGTGACTCAGGCAAGTTTGATAAATGTTAGATTAATGTCTAAATCATACAATATTGTTGTTCAGGTGTCACTGAATGTATGGATTTCACAAAAACATCAGTACTGATATTCTATTTGTTGCCCACAGCTGGCTGCAGCATCACAAGGCAGCTGAAACTATACGTAGCCTCCAAACTAACAAAGAGGCTGATGTGTGCGTTTACGCACGGTGCTGAGGTAGCTTCATTAACATGATTGGCCAGGATTTGATGATAGTTAATGTTCTGTGTTTTACTATACATCTCTACCGGTCAGCTGTTACACACTGTTTCCAGGTTTATACAGACTTTATGGATAAATTCTGAGCCTCATCCCATCTGTTATTTTTATTTTAAAATCTGAAATATATGATTGTCCCCGATCAATATTCAGTACCTAGAGTATGTATTGATAACAGAAATGTGGCAGAAGATAAATTACCTTCATTGGCCTCTCATCTGTGGGCTCAAGTCCGATGATGCATCAGAGAGAAGTATTACGCCTTTAGCCTTGGAGGTTGTGTAGATGCGCAGCATTCGTATCTTAGTCTGCTCAGTACAGCTGGCTCACTGTGACTTCAGGGGATACTGCATTGTGACTAAAATCACGAATATCAAACTCGAAGTCTTCCACTGGTCCTTTAGATGAATATCCATTTGGAAAAAACAAGCCCTTGCCCGTCTCCAGCAGTTCACCCATAGTTATTGATTTCTCCACTGACAGGTGCCGTGTTCCACCTCCATTTCTTGTTTTGATCTGGGTGATAAGTGCCGTTATCAAAGTGGAGCCATCCCATTTCAATCCGCCGGGTAGCTTTGGCTGCATGTTTATTGCCAACAATGTTGCCAACTGTTTGTCTGTCGGCAGGAGTTTTCCGTTGTTCCCCGAGCCTGTCTCTTACTCTCTGCATGAAAGCTGACTTCACTGTCTCCACTCCTCCTGACTTTTCATTTGTTACAGTTCTTTGACGACAAAATGCTCTGAGTGCAAGTCGGTCCCCATATCTTACGATATACTGTCCTAACTCCTCATCTGTCATAACACCTATGACGTTGATGTCGATCTGTAATAAGCAAGGCAAACGTCAAAACGTTGGAAAAATTCATTAACATAGCAGGTAGAGAAAGCTAGCAACATTAGGCTACATGTATTGCTTACTTTATGTCACAAAAGTTAACATTTATCTTTACCTTATCATCTTTTAGTTGGTTGATGACACTATCAGGTATATTTCGTTTTCAGGAAAGAGAATAAGTCCACTTCTGT